GTGGCGGGGGTGGAAGATACAAAACACAAACAAGAGCTGAGAGCATTTTACGGTAATTTCATGATTAACGCAAAAGCCATTGAGAGTCATTTTAGGACAGAAACTAGCAGTTTGGAGACTAAGGAAGACCCTGGAGCGCACACGCAACCCAAGCAGCAATGGAAACAAACAGAGCCATCGGAGCCTGTTGATCAAAGAGAGGAATGACACGGAAGAAACACAACGGAATGACAGTGCAAGCGCTCCCTGGATATACCACTTTCACTAGATCTGATTTCAATAGGAAAAGAAATTCTCCAGTTTCAGCTCTCCTGTACTCAAACAAGGATTCCAATTAACTCCACTCACCAGAAGTTTAGCTTGTTCGGGCAGTGAGACTTGTTCCCTCTTTCCATCTGGATACCTTAGCATCAGCTGTGCCTTTGGTCCTAGCATAAAGGAAGTTACTACAAGTTAACAAATAGCAAGGCAGCTGAATTGAGCTCTTCTGTAGATTTTAGGAGGCACACTTTACTGCACAGGATAGCAGGGTCATGGACTGGAGACAAATACAAGGTTCCAGTCTATGAAGATATACTTCTACCACGAGTTTAAAACATACACAAACTCGGGACTTTATCAATAGTCAATAGCAGTGACTGAAACTACTCAGCGTTCCCAGAGAAAAGCACACTGTGCTACCTCTGCCTCTGAGACCACCTCACCCTGCTGCATCCCAGCTCAGGCACCGCAGGGAGGAACTGAGACCCCAAGGACTTGTTTGTATTAGCCAAAGTTGCATTATTAAAACTCAGTCCAGACCGTCAAGGCAGCCAAGCTAACTGAGCACAAGGTGGGGCTGATGTTATTCTGCTTCTCTCTACCATACTGGCTGAAGGCCTGCCTTGTGCACCTGGCATTCCACCAATGTGTAATTTATTTGCAGATGAGGTCTCAAACGAAGAAACTTGAGCTCAATCACTAGTACCACTCCGCAGTTTGTGGCATCGCTACGCCAGAGTGGTGCTGCTGGCAAAATGAATCGCTCAAACGTCTGGTGTCACGGAGGGGGAGTAAGACAGAAGAAAAGATTTAGCTTTTCAAAACAAGGGATGAAACCATGCTTGTCCACATATAAAGATTTTCAGGAAAAAAAACCCTGAAACACAGGTCACTGAAAAAATAAAAAAAATGGCAACTTACCATTCACATCTAGTCCCTGAAATGTACTTTCAGGATTATCAGTTGACTCCTCCAACATCCCTGCATCAATGCAAGGCAGCACTCTATGATTTGATGTTGTCCCAGACTCAGTCCTTGCAGGGGGCTCAGGCTGAGGCCTCCGGCTCTCCTCTTTTTTATACCCCAAGTCCTTGTGCGGAGACTTCCTCAGCTTGGCAGGATTCTCCGATTCCTCCTCCTCCTCAGATCCACAAACTGAAATAAACTCTTCGCTTCCAGAAAAAAGCTCTGACTCCGACTCCTCATCTGATCGACTCTCCTGCTTGGCCTGCGAGGAATCAAAATGTGTCTCCTGTAATGAGGCTCTGATAGCAGCTTCCAACTGGCTGTCCTCACTGGCATCAATGAGACTCTCCTGTTGAATACAGACATAACACAAATACACAAAAATTGCTTTTAAATATGTACCGAAAATTAAGAGGACATCAGTCTTCTAAAGAGAAGCTACTAAAACTGTCAGGAACAAACACCATGGAAGCCTAGTCACACTATGACTACTTAATGACTTCTCCTTGGAGTTTCACATGGAGTGATATATTTTCCTTCCACACACGCACAATTCTGTGACGGCCAAATCCAAAAAAATGCTGAAAGCACAAACTGCACAACAACGACAGTTACCGTGGCAGAAGCCATTCCCTGGCGCACCATATTTTAGCACTCTCTCACACTAACTCATTAAGCATGGAAACCAGTACAGCTGGATACAGACAAGCTAGCATGTTTTTTCTGGTTTCTCCAGACCTCCCAGAGGGCCTCATACTTACTGAACGAGAGCATTTTTGGGGAGGGCTAGTAGAATGGCCATCCAGCTGTCCGTGCTCACTCAGGAACCCAGTCACTTGGTCCAAGAAAGAAGTCACATCTAGCTGGTGCCACTCCACCAGTTTCTGGCCTAGGGAACAACAGATGTCATGAAACATAATCTCAGCAAAAGATTGCAGCTTAGCGGTCAAACACACCAATTCACTGCTGTGCACATGCTCTGCAAGAGTCCATATTTGTGGAACTGCAGCTTCCTACAGGCTACCACCTGATGATTACAAAGCTTCCTACCTCCACCCCTTTGAAAAGGTTTCAATCATGGACAGACATGAACAGAGACTCTGTTTATTTCCATTCTTTTTCTCTATGGGAATGTGTGCACAAAATGGTGAATTAGGCATCGAAATGAATAAAAGCCAAACCACTAAGTTTATGAAGAAGCATTTCTACATTCTTGCCTGCTTTGGTTCCACACCTTGGCAAACAGCATTTGTTTCCATAAGTAAAGTGCTAAGAAGAGTATCCAAACTTCAGCACCAAAGTTTTTTTGTTAAAAAAAAAAAGTTTTGGGTGGTTTAAGTCAAATAGCAAGAAATCTCAGCTCTGATTACAGACACTATTGCTTCAGTCCTGAGGAGCACAAGACCAGACAATTAATATAGCGGCATTATATGATGATAAAAGAAGAAGGGGTGTTGGGACACAAAAGAAAAAGAAACAATTTCAAAAGAGCTGGAAGAGGAGGTAGAAGTTTGATTCTCCAGTTAAGAAAAAAAAACAACAAAAACACACACATAAAAAAACCACACAAAACCAAACAAAAAACCCAAAGCCAAAACGGTCTTTCAAAATTAAGATGCAATTTAATAAGTCATCTCTGAGCCTCACAAAGCTACTGTGCAAGGAGCAGGAAGCAGACTGATGTAATGCTTACAAATATTGTAGTTTACTCATGCCATGATTTCAATTAGCTTTTAAAATGACACTTAAATAAAAATAATCATTTCAGAGTGTTACCACCAGGTGGTACTATTTTCACTTCCCAAAGTACTTGCAAAGCTATACCAAGCACGATAACCAAATACACAAAATTTCAGCAAGCCTTGAGAGTTTTATCCCCTCAGTTCCTCCAAAACATATTGCTTCACTTCTTCAGGGACAACAAGGCCTCTCAGAGAGCAAAACAATGTAACTGAGATTCTTCAGGTGAATGCAACACATACTGCAAAAGATGGTATTCTAGCCTACAACTGCCAGTCCTTCACACTGGATATAGAATCTGTAGGTAACGAACTGTCACGTATCTTACCTGTTCTGGGATCCAGGATGGAGACATAAGGGAAGTCTGCTAATTTATAAAACTGGATGTACCTCTGTCCTTCCTCGCTGTCATGGTATACCTACAAAACACCACATTGGAAGCAAATTACTGGGTGGAGAGGGAACACAAACAAACTGTATCTTTCTCTGTTTTACAGTATATGGTACAACCGGTACGTACAGTTCTCAGTAACTCTGACAAGCTGAAACTATGCCTCTAACGGTCCATGTATTAGAAGCTATGAGGTAACATTCTGAATGAACAAGCGAAAGGCAGTTCATGCATTCAAATGCACATCCATGAACTACATCTACACCCATAAACTACAGAATCACAGAATCACAGAATAGTAGGGGTTGGAAGGGACCTCTGTGGGTCATCCAGTCCAACCCCCCTGCTGAAGCAGGG